TGTTCACATCATTTGCGTTCAATTTCAGTCATAACTAAAAACAGATCGTTAGAAATTACCTTAATTTGAAATTAGTGCGATATGAGTCACTCTCTCGGTTTAGTTCTTTTCATTCGTCGGGGTGCGTTTATTAAAATATAGTGCTTGCTCATTTGCTTAAAGTTTATTAGTCTTTGCACGCGCAAAGCGCGTGAAAAGATTTCACTTAGGCTCCAACTATTCTACATGACACTAATGATTAAAAATTTCTAGAGTATTCACGATGAATAGTGGCCGGTCATACATCATTGTGGGTTTTCACCTAGATGAAGCCCATGCTCTGTTGTCATCGTCTTTCCATGATAAAGGTTCTTTATTTCAACTAACATTGTATTCTTTTTTTAAATACGTTATGTGCTCAGTGGAAGTATAATAAATGAATACACATAATATACAGACATAGAGAGCACGTCACACACAACTAGTCATGTGAAAAGGCTTCGAGGTCATGTTATTCTAGGAAATCACATGATTAATTCACTCGCATTATTTCGAAATTGAATACCGTAATTTCTGGCCCATTACCTGTGGGTAATATGTTAATTTTTCCACAAACAGTAGTTGGTACGGTTTATAGGAAAGTGCAGGTTTTAAAACTATATGCAGGAAATAACAGAGATGATAAGATCCACTAAAGATACTCTTCAAAAAACCTGTGCAATAACTCATTTATTTCGTGCAGATTGCTCATTGTAATAAGAGACTTTGATGCTCTCGATGAAAGCCGATGCAAATCGAAAACTGATAAACAAAAAAACTCGATAACAAAGGTTTTATCTTGTTTGTACTCTTACTTTCTTACCTTGTCAATTGCACAGCTTGTTTCTTTGTTAAGTTCAAAAAGCAATTCACACTTACACATGAGAAGTGAACTTGAAAATAAAAGAATTTAATTATGAAAAAGCTGGCTTCAGAGCAATCCACACGGGAAATGATGCCATGCCGGCTTGTCCATTTCTTGGCGCCGCTTAATAAATGACGCGACAGAATATTCGACGCATCAGTGAAATTTCTTAGCTAGCGCTGCCTTGAGTGAAAGAGTAATTTCCCGTTTCAAGCGATTTCTTAAACTCAGTAAATCTCGAGATATCGATTTGTTTTGAGAACAGATTTTTACAAGTGGTATCATTCTCAATGAAACAGCGGAGACAAAAAGTGTGAAAATTTATTAATTGTACCCTAAAGGATATCATGTCAACAAAAGCAATAAAGGAAATTTGTGTGAGTCGACGATTTTCATTTGTTTTTGGGTGCGGGTTATCTGCTAGTGCGGGTAATCTGTTGAAACTTTTTCCTCGTTCTTGCAAAAATTGACCGATGCGGGTAATCTGCCGCGCGGGTAAATGGACAGAAATTACGGTACCCTTCAATATCTCTTATCTTTCTCTAACAACATGCAGCTCAATCGGCATCAGACGATAGGATCATCGGGCACTCTTTTTGGGAACGTAAAAAAATTAGCTAAGCAGCGCGACTTGTTTTTTTAGGTCTGTTTCTTCTATCCGATATCTGACCATTAAGTTCCTAAGATTATGGTGTTTGCTTTGGTTTTAAATTTCTGCAATTATACCTTACGAGAATAGAAAAGAATACGAGTCATGTGATCATGCTCCCTAGCGTGTCATGTCAGACCTTGGAAACAAAAAAGTTGAAACGGTAGTAGTGGAGTAGAAAGTGAAAGCTACACTCGGCGTTCCTCGTACGCCCACGCTTCGCCTAAAGCGATTAAATGTGCCACATGAAAAATAAAATTTTTGGAACCTTGCTGTTATCCACTTATTTTTGATAGTGATCGCGCAATGGGTCTCATCAGACTTCCGGTATAATTCGTGATCAATGCCCAAAGCCATTTGATAATCGTACTCTACTTTTACTTCCGCATGTGACGAAACTCCGATGATGTAGCTCCAAACCAGTCTTAAAAACTGCGCTTTACATCGATTAAATGAATGCATTTCTTAATCAAGAGGTTACTGATGATGTCTATCACTCGATCCTCTCTTCGATCAGAAATCAGAAGGGAGTCAATACAGATGGAAACTATCTCGCTACAGCAATTTTACTGTCTGCGGTAAGTTCTACTAAACTGGTCTGCAACTGATAAAGGTTCAATAGGACGTTTGCAGAAGAGAGTGATTCATACGAATGGCACATTGTGCATCACTTACCAACAGTGTTAGCCCGCCTAAAAGTTCGGTCTCTCTGATTGCTTCACCGAAATACGACCACCTGAGCACTCTTCAAGCAACTGTGAGCAGAGGGGGGAGGGGGAGGGGTTTCAGTTTCCTGTTTCAGTTTGGGGTCAGTTGCTTTTTCCGGTAACGCTTTCTCGAGTTATATTCGGGTGAAATTATCTTCTTTGAAAAATTTGCTCTTGCTTATTACATCAAATTGCACTATCATCATGTTATAAACTAAACACTAAACACTAAATCATGTTATAATAAGTTCGGGTATAACGCGCACTGTCATTGGTTGAAACAGCGTGCTCTATCAGAGTATAGAAAATAGAGCAAGAGAGTTAAAGTTGTCACGCCATCTGCCAAATTGTAGTATGTCCGAACATTTTCCAGACTTCTCTTAAGCTTTTTTTCGTTAATCACTCTGGCTTTCTAAAGGAAACGCCCGAGTTGAAATTCCGGCTTTGTCCTTTTTTCGCTCAGTTGTAAATCGCTTTCAAGTCCTTAACACGCATGCACCACGTATTGACTCTGATCTGACGTATGCGCGACGTTTTGGCTGATAAGCACATGGCATGGTGTAATGGCGGAAGAAGAGAGGTTTTTGCGGTCCAAAATCAGCACAGATACTATGTATGATACACTCAAAACTCATACAAAATATGCACTTAGCATTCGCGGTAGACCAACACTAATGCAGGCACAAAAAACAAAGTTTCTTTTCAACAGAAAGCCCGAATGAACGCAGATATGCGTCTAGTTGAAAGTGAAATTTCGGAACAAGCGAGCCGGTAAATAACAACAGAAGAACCAAAGAAAGGTCTGTAAACATGCCAAGCGCCGTAATTGACGTTAATATAACATGAACAGAGACGAAAATCCTCAAAGAAAAACGAGAGGGACACTCTGAGTTTTGAAGGTTTTCACGCTCAGTTAGATTACAAGCTTACTTACGAGAGAGAAGAGAAGACCAGAAGAATGCAGATAGTGTGCAGTAGAGTAGGGTCAGAACTCCGCAGTTAAGGAAGAAGTATCCAGTGAGAGTCAAAGAGTGAGAGCCTAAGATATTACACAGAGTTACACAGAATGAAATGAGTTTGTATGTAACTGGCATTGTGTACTGGATAACTAAGTAGTTAAAGAAAGCACTGGTGCGTTTCTTGTTATAATTTTTTTTTCGTCAGTGGAACTTACGTCCATGGAATAAAGAGAACGAGTGTTTCATTCTTGCTAACTGAACAGGAAATTCCACTCTGACCTTGTAACCTTGATTTTTCTTTGCGGAAGGAAATCGTCATCTATATACTAAATTCTGAGTCAGAATGTAACAGAGAGGAAAGACGACGGACAATTTATTCATCTTTTGTCTCAAATCTCCACTATTGAGTCTCTTGACTGAGATGGAAATAGTCGTTTCTATATTCCACTAAGTCCTTTTCGCCGAATAGTCGAAGCTCTCTGATACGAATATACTGAAGGGACGGAGCAAAGTCACGGTGTCCTTATTAAGGTGGTGTCTTTTACTAGAGATATTCCTTTTACGAGGATCTGCAGACAGTTATCAGTACCTCGAAGCTAAAATTAGGCATACAGTACATTTTGATTCAGTAGTTTACGATACATCATGACACATTGTTACCTACCAAATATAACGCAACGAACCATAACGTAATATTGCACTTAACAAAGTAATGATATACTTCACTTAATCATATCTCGATAGTTGACTCTGAGGAGCAGCAAACGGTGACGGTGAATTACCTCACCAAAACCAACTCACGTCAACTGAACAGCGAAGTGTCCGCACTAAAAATACTAAGTTTATGTCGCTTTTGTTCTTTGGTGCCGAGATTAAGGGTCTGTTGTACGCATTAAAGCTACTTATATTTCCGTTAAGTATGTATGTGAGAGTTTTGGTTGGATACTAGGAAACCTTAGAAGTTGTCCGTGGTAAGAAGATACCCGTAGTGGGGTTATACTGTACCAGACGAAAAATAGGAGAAGAGCTGAGAAGAACGATCAGATCAAACCAGTCTTAAGTTTCAGGTACTGAAGTATTCAAAAGTCATCATCTACAGAGAGAGCAACTACTTACTCTAACTATCACTCAGTTATACATTCAAACAAATGTAAGATTCGTTATGATAGGAAAAAGTTGCTTTTGAGCAGGCAAAAAGGAGAGAATACGTTGCTTAGTGATCACGCGCTAAAGTAATCCATTTATCGATGTTTGCTAGTGATTCCATTTGTCTTAATTAAGTAACTGAAGACCTTTCAGGTGGAAAGCATTTAGTTTTTGACTCTTTCTTCTCTAAAAAACTGCCTGTACAAGCTTGTTTTCGCAATTTATTGTAAAGTCGCCATAGCTGGTGCTAAAGGATAAGCGGAAAACCAGATGACTTCAAATGACGCAACTTATGACCAGCCGGGAAGCTAGTTAAGTGAATTGCTACCGGGGTGCAAAACAAATATAAATCACCGTCTCACGAAGGATGCAATTAATTTTCCGCAGTCTCATTCAGGTGTCACTTTCTTGTGTGCTTGTCCCACTATGAGACACGATATTGGTGATTATCAAGAATGCCATTACGTCGCTTTTCATGGACTGGAATTTTAGGTAAAATATTTTAATTGTATACGACAAAATTCTTATAAGGCTCAAAACAACGTTGGACACCATTCCCTTCAAGTTTTTCCTTCTCATTGAAGTAGATTTAGACAATGATGATTGGATTTATTCCATGCGGAAAACCTTGAACTGGGTAATTTTAATTAGCTTACCTTTTTTTCGCAGTAGTAACTGACAATGATATCCGGTATGAAACTGTAAAAACAAATTATGGGAAAAGATAACTCAGCAAGGCGGAAAACTGAAATGAGCGTTGCTTATCAATGCAACGGTGTATCAGTATAATTTAAGAATTTGTAAGAATTTGTAAGAATTTGTAAGAATTTGTAAGAATTTGTAAGAATTTAAGGATAAGGTAGACCTTCAATGGCCGATAGCTCTCCTTTTTTTCACGTCAGATCAAACATTACTATTTAACTACAGTTCTCAAGAAAACAAATCTGTAAGTTAACAAAGCATTGGGAATCTGGGGTGAGCAATCGTCTTATAAAGACGACAGCGACCGATTGCTGTATCAGCTGATCAACTGGGGAGGACGTTTGTGGTAGTGACGGCTTGTATTGTGCTGGACGTATACCGCGGAATAGCCAATTTATCAAGATTTGAACTAATGATGATTCCCTCGAAAGCAGTCAGTCATTTTTAGGAGAGTAGGAAAAAAATCTCAAGTTTATTTTGCAACATGACTTAAAACCCTGTATTATCTAATTATGTTTCTGCACAGTCTATCCAAGAATTTACCATAGTGTCACTTTGATTACACGAGTGCGTCTTTTTTGAAAAAATTCTTGGGGTGTTAAAAGTTAAATAACAGCCTTGAAATTTGGCCCGAAGATTCCCACGATACTAACCAAAAACAAGCTGTGAGGAAGTTCCGTTTCCCGTGACTGATTTCCCGGAATGACCAAACCTGACAGAACAATTGCAAAGCAACCAATATTAAATAAAAAATCCACATAAGATTTTGAGCATTAAACCATTATCACTGACATTGTGCAGAAGTTTCATAAGTGTGGTTAAATTCGGCTTAAAGAAATATCGTCCGCTTCAAATAGAGGTGCCTCACTCGATTTACGACTACATCTAGCTAAATCGCGAAAAAATTTGGGGGAAAACACATTTTAGAAATAAATTGTCCATTGATATACAGTTTGTGGCGTGATAACATTTTTTTTTTCGCAAAGGATACCAGCCCGTGTAAGTTTTAGTATCCTTAACTAGCGATCAGGAGCTCTCTCTAAGGGTGAAGCGCGAAAGTGTAGCAGCGCTAAAGTCGGAGAACAGACTAACGTGGAAAAAAGAACTCTTGATACAGTTGAGACAGGGGTCGCTTAATTTTATGGTAATGAGTTTCATTTCTGTTGTTAATCACGACATGGCTGATAAATTCTTGTAATCAAAATTATATGGGCCAGCTAGCGTGGTTCATATACCCAGCATTGTGATGTAAGATGACGCGTTTCCGCGTATGACAAAGAAGAGGAAATTTCTTTTTATACAACATCGAACACACGTGTTGAAAATGTCATAGGGCAATTATTGTGTGTTTTAGCCGCGTGTTATCGAAACATGAAGTACTTTGGAAGTCTGGCGAACAGTCAAGAAGCTTGAGTTGCCGTCGGCTACGTCTCGAGCAACTCTTTTGCATACTTCTGTGTGCTTATTATACAACCCTGACGCCCATTAATCCGGTTTCTTTATTTAAGCTCTAATGAATAGGAGTGTTATTTCTCTAGATATTTCGTGTATGATTATGTTTTTAAGAAAAGCATTTTTAATTGCGTGAGGATGTGGTTTTGTGCATCATGATGATGTCAGGACCTAGGAAATAGCGCTGAGGCATTGATAACAACCGCTAACAACGAGGGGCGGATATTCACTGGTCCCTAAGGAGCTGAACAATTTTTCATTGAGATTTCGATCTTAAAATCCATGAAAAAGATATTTGAAAGGTTTGTGAGATTAGCTGTCATTGTTCAGGCGCATAGTATCGACAGGCGCGCGCTCTTTTTGGTCAAAGATACAATCAGTGAAAGAACAATTTATATGCTGGTCACTACTTGTTTTCTTTCATATCAAGCAGAATTTTCCTTGCATTGCAGTAGTTTGTTTTATAATTTGGTAAAATGGACTCCAGAGGGAAAAAGGGTATTTCTGTAATCGTACTATAGTCCTTTCGTCCACAAAACAGTAAGAGAAGTGGTTATCATAGTGAAGACGTTACGATATAATAAAAATTATACATACATGGCGGTAGAAATAGAACAAGTTATTCGTCCGAAAAATATACCTCATTCACACGTAGAGGCGGTTAAGATTGAAAAGCATCGCGAAGGATCACAAACGAAAAAGCCTGCGTTCAGGGCGATCGTTGGTGGGAAGTGCTGTAAGACGAATCTTAGAAAACCAGTAGACGGCTATGAATGAGGCCTTTGAATATTTCACTAAAAGGAGGCATCTCAGACCGATGCATGATGTTTTTTCGCCTTTCTATGCCGTATGAAGAATACAGCACAGCTTACCTTTTGTAAAACGCTTCATATATTACCACGACCTTGATACCAAGAAACTTCAGCACGTGGTTCATTGATTGATTTTACTGCATTATTTTAATTGAATCGCTCTTACTCTGACTTTGTATTTTCATGCGCGCACATATAAATTTCATGCGCGCACGCGTAACTTTAAATAAAGGCAAACTGCTGTGACAAGGCTCTTGGAATAATCGTGTCAAGAAATTTAAGAATGCCCATATTTGAAAGCGCTTTCTTATGTTATGTCTACATAGATGCATACATACACACATACACATATTGTAGCAATACGTGGGATCTATGTCAATGGAGTTTAAGTACGTTTTCGTGGCCATAAGTGACCATAAGTGACCCTTGCTCAACAGTAAGAAAACATGTGGGCTAGCGGTTCATTTCCGTTGCATCGAACGTGCAGCAGATTTCTAAATTAGTCTTATTGTTACTGAAAAAATGGCACGACAGGGACGCGGGTCAAATAGATCGTTTTATCGGGGGAGGCAAACCATTAGTACTTAGGGAAGGGTGGGATGCAATCAATCAGTACTCAGGGAGGGCTTGGAAGCAGACTGTTGTTACTGAGGGAGGGGTGGAAGACGAACAATTAATACGCATGGAGGGGTGGGAGGTGGCTATATTAGTAATTGCCACTGATTAACGGAGTTTTTAATAGATGATACAAATCATTTTGAGCGGTTTTTCGACTATTTTAATGTCAAACTTTTTGCGCTGGGCCGTAGTGTTCCTTTATTTTTTGTCATGTGAATGCGAAACTGCCACCTAAACACTGTATTATAATTAATTGTTTCTGAAAATATTGCTAATCCTCCGCTGTTGAGTCACGCGCATGCCTTTAAGTCGACTTGTTCCAGTGCTAAATGATACTTACTGGTTATCACGAGTCATCCATCAGTTGCTTCATGTTTCCCTTTGAGAGTACAGTATATCATTACTAAATTTACGTATGATCCCCTTGTCACTGATCTTATCCGGACGGCAGAGATCCCGGAATTTCCGATTCTTAGCTCTTAACTTGGCAGCATGGTATTTGCAAGCACTATCGCAATTTTAAGGTTTGCACTTTTACTATAAAAAAATTGTTGGTACAATCGTACAAAGCAGTCTTCTCTCTTTTATACACAAATTTCCCCACAGCCCACGCACTTTATTTAGGTGTGGTCTGCAGTTAGTAGACACTTATCAACTTTGACTGTTTCAGAAATTGGAAAGAGATTTCATGTTCTCTCAAGTCAATGCGAAATAAAGAAGTCGTTTTGTCATTGTCTAAAAGAGGGCTTACTGTACTTTACGAAACGAAACGGAATGAAAAAAAATGTAATTTACAAGATAAACTCAAATCTGTAATTTGCGAAAAGGAAGTTCGTAATTTGTGAATAAGACATCCGTAATTTTCGAAAAAGGTAATTCTATAATTTGCACTTGTGTGGATTTAATGAATCAATGCATCGGCTATGTGAAAGGAAAATTGCGCCATTAAGCCATGAAATGCAGACCTGTTATTTGGAAAATGATCCAGCGATGAAGCTGTGCTGTTCTAATAGTCAATCTACGAAGTGAATTGCGTGACACGACACTCAATTTTTAGGCGTGAGTTGAGTGTATCTAATAGGGAAAACCGTGTATCTGAAAAGATAATTTGTTAACTTGTATATTCCACCTGAAGATGGCCGAGAGCCAAATCAGTCACGAGTTGAAGTTGTTTTCTTTCTTTGTAAAAGAGCCGAATCAGTCACGAGTTCAAGTTGTTTTCTTTCTTTGTAAAAGAAATTTATAAAATAACTGAGACATTAAACAGCAAATGTTTCCGACGATGAAATCTCGGAAGTTTAAATTAGTGCAGTCCTTAAGTAAAAACAAGGTAAGGTGTTGTTTCGAAGGTAAGTAAACTCATTTTTTTTTTATTTTGAAACGTAACAAACAGCACCAGTATCGACAACAATGTCTAAAATACCTAATGTAGCTTCCAATCGTAGCTTCTAACTAGCCTTTCACAGATTCATTTTTTGCTCAACAAACCGAATCCAAGACAGAATTGTGTCCTTGGAAATCCATGAAATGAACAAATGCCTTACGAAGTTTAATTTGTCTACACAAAAGCCCTAAGACTAAAGAAAACAAGTTTTGATCAAGGTAGCTTAAGATCGTTATCTATGCTCACCTCCATTAAACATGTGACCTTTCCACCAAAAATAAAATACATCGATCACCGATATCTCTGTTATTTAGCTTGAACATTACACTAAAAAAATAGCCCACAGGGTGTCAGTAAATATTACCGAATACCCCCGATATTTACTTTGCCCTTGGGGAATAAGTGCCAGTAAATTAAGCAAAGCTTTCCATACGAACAACTAAGTTTGGTAAAGTTTCCGCACAGCCCCATACTACATTATGCATTCAGTTCTTGGATAGAGAAAACAATGACAAAAACAATACAATAGTATGGGGCTGTGCGGAAACTTTACCTTCCAATTTACTCAACCTAATCTCGTATTGTCTTATATGAGAATATTTTAAAGTTCAGATTTGCACGTCCCTTTTTGAGGCACTAAGGAACTTTAGCAGTTAGGATGGCAACGCCAAGGAAGACGTCGATTTAAAAATGAGTATATATTTCTCTTATGGCGCGGTAAGTTGACCTCAGCATAACTTATGAGAGCGGCATTGATTTCCAAGTGGAAACTTAAGTAATCTGCTGTCGGGATTTCTTTTCGCGGGCCATGCAAATTTTGATGATTTCACGTTGTTAGGGACCTTAAGCAGTCAGGACGGCAACGCCAAGGAAGACTTCGATTAAAAAATGAATTTCTGCCTTTAATTAGAATTTCAAAAATGGCTGCATTTGTTTACCGTCTCATACAGCGCCACACCTCAACTTCAGCATAGCGTATAAAAGAAGCGTTGAGTTCCAAATGGAAATTAAAATAATTTGTCGTCGCTGATTTCACGTTGTTGTTTTGCATAGGACGGCTAAGAAATGTATAGAGTTTTAAAACGCACGCGCCGAGCTATTGTTCTGCCAATTAGATCTTTTGTTTTCCCATGTTCTCGTTGCCGTCGCCGTCGTGGTTTGCTTAAGTTCCCTATTATTTTGCGGAGGACGGCTAAGAAATGTACATAGTTTAGACGTAAGTGTTGAGCTATTGTTCTGCTCATAAAATCTTTTGTTTTGCCACGTCGTTTCCGTCGCCGTCGTGGTTTGCTAAAGGTCCTTATTATAGCTATAGGGGGTTAACATATAGAACTGCACTGGGAACTTCCATCTCTGCAGGTAAGTTGCAACTAAATTATAATAAAATCTCAACGTTACTCTCAAATGTCATTAAGGACAAACCGTTAGATAAGTTACAGATACGAAGAGCTAAGCTCAGGCTTGAGTAAGGTACGAGAGGGCAAGCCGACATTTAACAAACTGATAAACTGCTAAAAAAGGTACCACGGATAATGTATGAAAAATTGGAAATTGTCTGTCCGGAATAATAAAAAAAATTAATTGGTAAATACCTCTTAAAGATAACCTTCGTTGGAAGACACCTGCTTCATTCTATCACCCCAGGAAACGGTCCAGCTGCCGAAGTCTCGGTGCAAATGCTCTTTTATTTATGAGTAAAAAAATTGGGCAATGGGCTGTCACGAAATACACCCGGAAATAGTTTTAAATTTTTACAAATTCCCTACAAGTATTTTCTTTAAAAGCTTTGAATTCTGAGACAACGGTCTTTCGGCTGAAGTAAATATGACAAAGGCCAAAAGTGGTCACGTTCATCCTTACTTTGAAAATTTTAAAGTTTACGTTTCCTCTTTCCTTGTTTAAACAATTAATTTAAACCGTATTGGGTAGCGAAAATAATCACTGTAATGCATGACAAACTCATATTACCTTAAAAGGAGGCGTCTAATAGACGAATTCCCCACATTAGCCACACATGGAGAAATGAACGAAAATGGAAGTATTGGGTATTTTTGAAATGACTTTATCCTTAGCTGTAAATTTTAAAACAACTTTAGCAAACAGTTCAGTTGTTCGTAATGCCCAAGACGGTTTAAGCGACAGTTACAGCCGAATTAACTGAAGAGTTGATTCAACTTAAACATTCTTGACAGTATCTTGACTGCTACAATTTCAACCATCAAAAGTGTTCGTTTTAAAATTATTTGAACTGGTTTGGAATGGAATCCAATGAACAGATGGACTATCGGTGAGTAATAAGAATGACTTACTTTCAAGTCAAACGGGTAAATGCAACCTTGACAAGGAGTGAATTCACAATTCTTACAGTGTTCACTGTCGTCTAAATCATTCATGTGTAGTACGAATCTTGCGAGTCGTAATAAAACCAACGGCTCGCGATCATAGAAGTTCATCAAGGACACGGTTCTTTCTCAGAAAGTGAATGAACCCTACATACAGCAAATGGTTTGAACCTCGGGGTAACATCCAGACGATCAGACTACACTTTCACACAAAAGTCTACACAAGATATTTTAATGTCTTTTCTCGCCTTCACTTTCTCTTTACAACAAAAAGGTTCGTACTCGACACTTGTGTAAACAAGAATGCGAGGTCACAAGATAATGCTTATTATGTTGAAAGTTGGTTTATTTGTATACTGAAACAAAAAGACAGTTTAATTTTGGAGAACTGAGAGAGCTTCGTGACAGGCCTGCACATGCACATGAAGAATTCATCATCACTGCCATTCCGACGTAGATTATGGCGGCTTTTTTTTTTGTTCCTTTGTCAAGTGGGTTTGAGTGTTGTTAATAGGGAATATAAGTTCATTTCCTATTTATTTCATGTCATGAATATTTTTTTGCATTCATGGATTCAGCTCGTGTTTTTGGTCAACACTGATGACTAAGATAGAGCCAATACTTCATGCATAGTTGCACTCCCGGCCGTGTTGTCATAACATAAGCCATCATGAGTTGCTGCGCGATTACCGTTGTACTTTGACTCTCAGATTCTTTTGAATGGGAGGCAGCATGTCAAAATCTTATTGCGAGTTTTGGTCATCTGAACATCGCGCCGCTACAAAATTGGCCCAAGTGAACACAAAACCGCCAGCAGGTTACGATCCTCAGTAAACGAAGCAACAT